GGGGGAGGAAGCTTTAAGAATTATGTTTTGAACTCAAAATTTACACATTTACCTTTGCATTACATACTCCAGGGTTTTTTGATTAGTTTTTTGGTTGGGCTTGGGGGTAGGTTGGTTAGGGTTTGTTGTTGTTTTTTTTTCCCCCACCCAAAATTTAAGATATCGCTGTCCTAATTCTTTAGTTGCTAACCAAAACCAACAAATTATCTTATATTCTCCAAGTAAAAGCTGCCAGTAAGGTTTTCACAAAGAACTACCTTGAGGTGTTCTCAGATAGAGATAACTATGAAAACATACCAGCCAGTAAATGGATTATAGTAGATTTTTTCTCCATCCAGAGTGATGACCTCCCGCCACAAGAAATGCAGTGCATTTTCTAAGGAGAAAGAGTTCATGTTACTATTATGAGGTTTCTCTGCAGCACACTGCTTAGTATTGCTCAGCCTTATTGTGATGCTTCCAGACAAAAAGCAGACGTCTAACTTCGAAGTGCTTAATGACCAACAAGATACATCAACTGCTGTTCAGCAGAGTTTAGTTTATCATTTAGTGTACAACCCAATCAACAGCTTTTATAAAATTAATAATGGAACCATTAGCAAAGCTTCTAATCAAACAGCAAGGAAACATTACTGCAGACAATACAATGCCATTTTCCTTAACTATGCAAGTTTTCCAGACCCATATACTTGCCACTGCTTGGAGTGCTTCTGAGGTTCTCTCGGTGAAGCATCCAGTTCACAGCCTCACTTTGGTATGGCCTTAGAATAGGAATTAATGCAGGATGCTGCACATCCTCTCGCAGTAACTGGATATCCTGCTGATGGGTGTGCCTTACAAAGTCATAAAGCTCTTCAATATTTTGTCGCTCTAGTTCCACATCAGATTCTTCTTCATCTTCCTCCAGCTCATCTGCATAAACCAAATAATTCAAGACAAGCATCATCAGTCAACTTTGGTCAACATTTCAGAAATTTTGCTGCAACATATTCAGTTAACACATGAAAGTGAGCAAAGCAAAACATCATTTAAACATTTGTCATGACTGTACCTGTATCAGCTAGCAGCATCAGGAAACAATGAGCACTACTTTCCTGACAGTTAAGATTAACATGCTATGGTGATCACAGAGGTATACATGAACACCAGAGTTCCTCCTTTAGCATTTAGGGGTAGAATGGCCATACCTTATTTATTTGATAAAGACCTTCCACTGAACATTTCCAACTAATACAGAACCACAAATAACTCACATTTCAGATTTAAATGTTAACATGGGTCAACAATCTCAGAGAAAAGGGGAAAATGCAGCAGGTTGGCAGAGATTTGTACATTTTTTCATGAAATAAAGCGTTTCTTCATAAAATAACATGCTAAAATCAAAACAAAATAGGAGATTCTCTTCAGTGAGCTTTCATGTTAATTTTAAGTTATTCATCTGGTTAAGAAAATTGTAACAGTAGGACAACACAAAATTCTCACCACTTGCATCATTGCAAAACTTCAGACAAGGCATACTTTAGAAATTAAAATCTCACCTCAAGAGAAGTATGTACCCTCTAGGACAGATGGCCTACCCTTCTTTTCTACCCTCTAGGAAAGAAGGCCTCGTACTTATATGGTTTTTCACATAATTTGGATATATGGGCATACACAGAACTTAGGCACTGTAGAACAAAAATTAATGAAAAATTCAAGGGTCAGCATTTTAAGAAACTGACATAAGATGAGGGAACAACAGACTTAGAGGACATATTTTGACAGTGGTTTAGGTCTCAAATCAAAAAACATCAGTATCAATAAAACAGCTGTACACCTCTACAGTTCAAAGAAAGGTACTGACCCTAGCCGATACTGGAGGTAAAGCCACCTTGTAGAGTTTTTCTCAACAAAATTTAGAAGCAAGTAAAGTCCAGCATTTTCAGCAAAATGTGACCTCAAAGTATATTTAAAAGTATAATCTACTGATTAAAAGAAAAAACAGCTAGTGGTAGGCACAATTAAATCAAAATATAATTATGATGCCTCATGCTAACAAAGAAGAGATGCACCTGATAGAAACACCAGAGAGCTTAATCTTAAAGGCCCCTTAAAAAAAAGGGCCTGCTATTAGAACTCCTCAGGGAAAGCAAAAGCTTTCCTTCATTCAAATGAATGGTGGAGAATGGCTTCCAGAACAGACAGCAGGAACCCTACTACATATGGCAGTCATCAGTGCCCTCCCCTAATCCTTTTAAGTCAATGGAACAAATCCAGTGCTTGACAAAGGAAAAGAATTCTGAAAGACAAGAAGTTTCTACAAAGTCACAAAAACTGTATACATAAAGACCTGTAAAGAAGGCAACCAGAGTGCACATGTGGACATGTGCACAATGCTTCAGACAAACAAAAAGCACCAACCAGCACATGCAGCTTTATATACTACAGAAACCATTCCAAGGTTCCACAATCCTCACTTCATGGAAAGAACAGAGTGATTGCAGAGTATAACTTTGTTCAGTGAAGTCAATATATAATAACACCTATCACCATACTTGCTAAAATAACAGTTTTCAAATCTCGTATTTCAGAGCATAACAAATTGACTTCTATATAAAGTAAGTTTATCCAGACTCTTACAGGGAAGCAAAGACTACAAAATACTTCAAAGCAAAATGTTTTTCCATACAATTAAATGTTTTTCCATACCTTTCTTGTTCTGTTCATTCTACCAAAGATTTTATTTTCCAATTAAATAGTTCCATGTACCACACAGATTTTTTTAAAGGGTTGCTAAGGAAGTTTACCTCTCTCTCAATTATGTACTAAACAATGAATACTTAATTATGCTTTCAACTAGTTAAAAATGTAATTCAATTACTTAGCTTTCATCTTAGTATTTTTTTACCTTTGAGAAACAGTACTGTACTATCTAAGAATTCAGTTTCTCTGATATGTTTCATAATCAATTCCTGCAATGACTGAACTAAAGTTCTGCTATAGCATCTGCAGTAAGATCTTTCCGTTTTACCTGTAGGGAAGTTTCGAGATTGAATATCTACATCAATGAAAATGTATAAGAATATCTACATCCATGAAAATGTAGTATTTTCCCCCTTTATTCTAGATTAATGGAAAACTTGTTGCTTCACATTTGGTAATGACAATGCCATACAAAGACCAAAAAAACCTCTTATTTGTATGAAGAATTTATTCTTCTTAAGAAAATTGATGCAAAGTGGTATATGGTACATCCTATTGCCACATACTGTATGTCATACAATAGTTCCATGACACTAGGGGAAAACAAACTCTGAAACATTTACCATTTACCAGAACAAATGGCAACTAAACCAATATTTTAGCCTTTTTTTTTTTTTTTTTAAATGCTAAAGACCATGGGTTTTTTTATATTAAGAAAGCAGCTAGCTGGATATATATGTGATCTATGCTTGTGTGTTCACTGAAGCAAGAAGCAGCAACGTGTAACACTATATAGCAGATACAGGATAGAAGCCATTATAAAACCAGCTACTTAGTAAAGCAAACAAAAGAAATCTCTGTGAATAGATTTCTCAAAAAAGCAGTTAGCTCCACAATAAATGTTCAAAACTCATGACATTTCTGAATATTCTGCATGGTGAGTTAGCCAACTGGGGAAGGCACCCACTGGACCTGTTATTTGTGAACAGAGAAGGACTCAGGGGGAATGTGATGGTTGGAGGCTGACTTGGGCATAATGATCACAAAATTATAGAGTTTTTTATTCTCAGAGAAGTAAAGAGGGGGAATCATCAGAACTCCTGCCTTTGACTTCCAGAGAACAAACTCTGGCCTGTTCAGGAGCCTGGCAGACAGAGGCCCTTAGGAGGCAGTCCTGAAAGGCGAATGAGTCCAGGACAGCTGAACCTTCTCTTGGTATATCTCAAGTCTTTTCTGAGAGTTGCATGTTTGTTCTTTGCAGCAGGTATGGATGTACAGATTCTATTCTGTTAGCTTTTCCTTTTAGCTTCTCTTTAGCAAGTTGCCTACTTTTTTTTTATACAATTCTGCCTTTTGAAATTAAGTACAACTATACAGGAGGTGCTATGCTTCTGTTGCTTCTGCAAAACCACTGAAACAAAGTATATTACAGTTAATGTTATTGAGTCAGTCTTTAACAAACATTTTGAATCCATCCTACGCTTAGGAACAAGACCAAGGCTTTGGTTTTTCAGTTTCCTAAGCCATCACACCATAAAGTGGTCACTGAGCACCCTAAAAATCCGTATCACTACTGAGTATAATGGAGAAGACATACCTTCAATTCCAAAATGATGACACAGCCCATATTTGTAAATTTGCAGTGGTGTGTTCTTAAAATTGTCATAAAGGTGCATTTTGTAGTAGCTTACATTGTAGCTGCTTTACAATATAAACTGAATAGAAATTCTGCTGCCTCAGCTGTGTGTTATGCATCAAGCTAGCAATAAAAACTTTCCAAATTTAATTCCTTTTTTTTTTTTTTTAATATTTTCCCTTACATCTAAAACTACGGGGGGAAAAAAGACAAAAATTATTCATCAATATTCAGCTGAATCACATTACCTGGAATTAAAAAGCTGTAGAACTTCTCCATGAGTTTTTGAATCAGCTGATTAGCTTTTTTGGGTCTTCCACCTCCATCACTGAGAAACTCTGGTTTACTTAGCCCAGCTTCCAGAAGGTAAATTCCAACCTGTGAAATAGTTATACAATTGATCATTGCATTAACTGTTAGACTGACAAGAATATTATAAACAGGAGAGTATGACAATAACAACGGTGCTTTGAAAATTAGCAGATGTAGACAGATATAATAAATCTACTAAAATCACCATATGGAGGATACTGTACATTGCAGCTAAAAGCTTCTATGATACCCTTGGGTAATGCATTACAACCAGTGCAACAGTACAAAGTAGTATTTTTGAAAAAAAACACTGAAAACATTTACAAAAGCATGTAGAAACTATACACTTTCAGCACATTATAAAAATACAGGGTAGCTGCCAGAATTCATTATTCATCTGCTTTTATTTTATATTTCAAGAAAAAAAAGAACTTTTAAAATGCAAAACAAATATATGAACCACACCTTTAAAGCCTGAGCCTCTCCAGGCCTTTGATAAAGTCCGATTATCTTTTTCTTTTGCAACCATCTCAAGCCTTCCAATATTTCACCACCTAAAGTTGGTTCCACTAAAATACGTTGTTCGTAAGCACCCAGGTATTCTTTTGTTTCATTACTGTACTCCTCTCCACTTCTTTCATGAATACAGACTTGCAGCTGATCATCAGAGTCTCCTCTCATCAAAGTAAAGCTCCTTTCACTGAATTCATCTGTTAGAATTTGCTCAGAAGGAAGATGAAGAGCAAATTCTCCCAGCAAAGCCTTCCAGGACCCATCCACACGGTATGGCAAGACTATAATATTCAGCTGTACTGACACAGGAGTCAAGATGGAGTAAGAGTCATCTTCATCGTTAACTGTCAAAAACTTGACAGATTTTGTGCCACTGCCTTCTTTTTGAAGAAGGTCTTCATCAGTGCTATCATCATTTATAACAATGAAGGAGGCAGAAGAAGTGCTTGGACCTGGAACATGGTCCTCATTGGTCGTTTCATCATCTAATGTTATCATCTCATTTCTCCGGTCTTCATGCATATTCCAGCAAAGCTTTTTCTTCTTCTCCTCATCTATTTTTGATGGAGGTGCACGTTTTCGACGACTGCTCATTTTGTCGTATTCTCAACAGAATTTTCAGTCTCTGGGAGATGAAATTAATTAGTCAGCAATAAGTGTTACCGAATTAAATGCACATACTGAAATTTCAGTGCAGTAGCTGCTAAACTTGCAAAAGGTTTGTACAGAGATATATGCACCAGGAAATCTAACTGTTCTAAAGAGACTTAGTTTCACAGAACCTCCTCCCCTGTCCCTCTGACATCACACAAAGCTGGACATGAAACATTTGCCTTGTACTTTGTCTTATCATTTTGCCAGACAGCTACAAAGATCAATAAGAATGCTACATTTCATAGCTGTTGCTCGGGAACTTGTGGCACAGATATAAAACAAGCAGTGGAATCCCCCAAATGCTGGGGTGCAGGAAGATGGCAAAAGAAACTCCACAAACAAAAGCGCAGGATTACAGGAGATTTGGGGATGGTTATGGGGAAAATACATACACAAAATTCTTCCTTCCTTTCATGGCCTACACTGACATGAAACTTCAAGCCAACTTGACACAGGGCTAGTCTGAAGCTGCCATTACATAAAGAATGGTTTAGAACCAAAGCTATCAAGTTCTATCCTTAGAAGGACAGAAGACCTTCCTACTAGTATGAAATACTTTATTTTCCCAGGTAACTGTGCACTCTGGGACCCAGATATAAAAACTGCTTGCAGCGGAGGCTTACTTACTCTAGTGGGCACATCAATGGGATCAATCAGCAAACTACTACTGATTTTGACTAACTGCAAAGATAGTCATGATACATGTCCAACTCCTTGACTGAACCTTGGCAGTGAACAGATTCTGTTGATAAAATACTAGAAAATAAAGTACACATGCTAAAAAATACACATGAAGAAGCAGATTATGGAATATTAGATCCATCTGAGAAACTATATATTCAAAACCACAGGCTCATACTTAAATACTCAAAAAAATAGTAACTTTTTTTTTTTATATATATTATTTTTATAAGGAGCCTGAACACAGCAATGTATGACCTCATATTACAGCACTGTCTTGGCCAGCAAGGAGTATTTGGATACTCATGTCCATTCACCTTCTGCACACAACTTCTAAAGAAATGTAGGAAAGCAAGAGGCAAATATTGTAAGCTACTAAATCTAGTATCCCACAGCCTAGTATTAAAACGGTTTGCGCTGGAACAGGGCAGAATTACAAATAACTTTTAAAGGGGCTTACAAAAAACCAAACAACAAACAAAAAAACCCCATATTATTTTTATAAGGAGCCTGAACACAGCAATGTATGACCTCATATTACAGCACTGTCTTGGCCAGCAAGGACAGGAGTATTTGGATACTCATGTCCATTCACCCTCTGCCCACAACTTCTAAAGAAATG